TATCTTCCAAGTCCTCTAAAACCCTCCCTGATCACCCTCTACCACATCTTTCCTCCCTGGTCCCTGGGCACTTTCACTGACACAAGGTCTTCCGCTATTTTATTCTATTAAAAAATAACACTCTTGATGACTTAGGTGAGATTGTCCTTAGAGACTTCCAAAGAGGGGAAAAGAATGATTAGGAGCACTCAACCTGGAGATCCACAAATGTGGTTAAAGAGAAGATGTGTGAGCAAATCTGAATTTGAGTCTCCTCGTTCAAAATGACATATTTAATGGAGGACTGTTATGTGCTTGGTTCTCCATCAGAAAGTGGGATTCAGGTTGGCCAGCACAGAACGGTCCAGGTCCCACTGACTAAAGGGCCTGCTGCCCCAACTAGGTGCATGGGCTGCTTTTATTTCAGATTCCACAGATCATAAAATGAGAATATGCTCTTTCTCAGGCTGCATATCAGGTATTTATGCTTGATTTACTTCATTCAGTCTGAGCCCATTTCAAATACAATAGGAAATCTTGTTTCAAAAAATATCCCTAATCAGGCTTACTTCCGTGCTCCCCCCTTCATTCTGTCACTGTTCCCTCTCACCCAGAAACTGGAGTAGCTCTGAGGGGATGACCAACTGCAGTCTGTTTTCCAAAAATGAGCCAAAGCTGAAGTCTTTCTGGCCTCAGGACCTATGAACTGGCTGCGCCCAGTGCCCGGAACCCTTTCCCCACAGGCACGTGCACTTCTCAAATGTTGTCTCCTGAGAGAAACCTTCCCTGACAGTCCCCTACCACACTCTACCCCAGGTACTCTTCCTGGATTCAGTTTCTTCAAAGCACTAATCGCTGTCTGATATTACGCATATGTCTGTATGTGTTCATACGGTTCCCTAATTTACATGTCATCTGTTCAAGAGTAGTTTTTCTGATTGTCTTGATCAACTCGTATTTACACTTCTTGCAACTTTTACTACATCTTAAAAAATCCAGAAACCCCACATCTTGGGCCTTTTCTACATATCAGCTAGACTAGGCAACCTCAAGCAGCATCAGAGGCAGCGTCTATGTGCAACGTCATCTGGCACAGAGTAGGAATTCACATGGCAGCTAATTGAGATAATGAATGAATGAATAACAACACATGAATATCATTAAGAAATGAAAAGGAATGCCAGAAGAAACTACCTTGTTGGGAGAGCTGGAGGTGTTTGAGACCTTGATTTTTGTCTTTATTTTGTGCATGAAGTACTTAGAATATAAAATCAAAAATTTTAAAACATAAAAGTAATTCCAAAGAGGCAAAGGTGTGTAACATGAATCTTTAATCTTGGAAGCCACTGATCTGAAATTTTACTGACTTTAGATGTCATTTTACTCTACATAAGAGTTAAATCACGAAAATTCTCAAGGATAATTCTTTCTTGTCCTTTTAAAAGAGTAATAGTGATGCCTACCTCTCCCTGCCATGAGCTCTTTCTTCCACTTGCTGCCCCACTTGATGCCCAGTTCCTGGCCGTACTCATCCCCATACCAGACTAGCAGTTCACAGCCTGGCCTAATGACTTGGCAGGTTCTATAGAAGATCTGCCTGTGGTACTGGAAGGCCACAAGGTTCTGCTCCTCATCATCCCGGGCACAGTTCACATACCTGGGGTCAAGGCAGTAAAGGGAAAGAAAAGAGGCAGTGAGTTCTCAGTATCTGTCAGATCCAGGTCTGGCCCATCACCTGCTGGTCTAGGCCTCCGTGGTCTAGTGCTGACCACTCCCCGCTAACTCCTCTGGGAGCCTTCTGTTCTTTCCTAAATCTCTTTCACAAGGTCATATGAACTTACGATTCTGACTACAGTGCTCATGCTGCCTGGAATGTGTCCCTGCCGTGCGCAATCAACCATTTTTTCAAAGCCCAACTCTGGACTTACCTCCACCTTGATTGACCATAAAACACATTAATGCCTAGCTTCTCTAAACTCTAAATTAATTCTGTTTTATGCCACAGAACTTGGTGCTTGATCATGTACTCTGCTTCTAGATTAGCGTACATCATTCTACGTTCAGCCCTAGTCCATCTTGCTTTGAGAGGCCTTCCTCAGTCATCCTACAGTTCACCCAGGTGCCGTTCACCTGCCTTTCCCAGGTTTCCAGAGAAACTTAGAAGCCTCTTTCTCTTGGCCCGATAACAGAACAGTAATAGTTTATTCATTTTTCGATTCTCTGGTAAAACGAGAGCCCACTGTGAAAAGGGGCTGGGTCATCCTGCAGCTCACGTCTCCTTAGGCTTCGGTTTTAATTTTACTCAGGCCAGGCTGCCCTCACAGATTAAAGGTCCTTTGTTTTGGGTTGTCTTGGTAATGTGTGCTTCTAAAAAAATAAGAAAATTGTGGTTAAATGTTCCTATAACCAATGTTACATGTCTGTCTGCAATACATCCTCCACATAGGACATGGGTTGTATGATCCGTTCAAGTATGAACTTCACTTCCTAACCTGGAACATACTAAGTGCTTAATAAATGTGGATTACATAAATTAAAGCATGAATGCAGTGTCCCCGTGAATCTAGGCTTCTCAAGGTTTATCTTGGTGCCTCAATTTTGTCTAGCATACAGATTTATGTTTTGATACCAATAAATCATAATATCTATATTTTTATCTTTTATTTCTAAATGTTGATGGTATAAAACAGCACTGTGTGGAGAAAATAGAAACACGGAATGTGAAAATCATTGAGGGCGCCATGATGAGAAGGAAGGAAATCCGGGATTGTGAGAGAGGAAGGTTGGTTCTGAAACTCAGAGAGCTCCTGGCCTTACCTCATCCAGTTGGCCCAGGATTTATCCTTTCCATCCACATACTCATAGCAGTTTCTCCCTTTGGTGATCTGAGTTTCAGAAAAATAAGGTAAAGGCTTTTTAGAGAGTAAAAATCAGAAGAATTATTTTACTCCATGTCATCAGTGTGGCCTTTGGGCCTGCATGGCTTCAGCTGCCAGTTGAGACCACATGGTATGCACCGTAGTCATCATCCGCACATCTGAGTTGATTCATCCAGTCAGAGCAGAAGCCCCAGAAGGGAGGATGCACTTGTTGTCTTTGTACCACTCTGCTCCCACATACCCTCTGATCTCTAAATAGAAGTTCCATGTTCATACAAAGACCCTTGAGTACACAGAGCTAACCAAGTTATCTCTGCCTATAACCTAACGTGAAGATGGTACTGTCCCAGCAAAGGCATAGAAGGGATGTGGGAAGACAGAACAGGGGAAATGGCAGGTAATTCTTACCAGCCAGGAGTATCCACTGTTGGCTGCCTCTTCGTCTTCTGTAATTCGGCCCTCATAGGGTCCAAAGTGCAGACCCAGCGGCAGATCAGAGGCCTCATTCCATACTCCAAGCCCAGCCTGAGGGATGCCTGATGGCCCAATTCTCAGCCCATGGGGCAGGCTGAGAGCTGCATGGTTGGGATGCCCCTTGTCCACTGCACTGTCCTTCACAAATGTCAGGGGGCCCGTGAGCAGCGCAGCTGTCAATGAAGAAGTTCTGACACATCTCACAATCTGGAAGTGAGGGCAGCAGGGATTAGGAAAGTTATAATCCAAGTTCCTTGATATAAGAACTTCAGAAAGAGCTCGGCACTCACATTACTTAGCCCCAGTCCTGTACTCTAACTCATTAGAGTAAGAGAATGATTTGGGGGCCAAATGATGAAATTATTGTACCAGGACATAACAGCCAACTGTGTGAGTGGCCAAGAGGGTCACTTACAGAGGTAGTCGTCATCCTGGGGCTCGCTGACCTCTTTGTATGCATGACCCTTTCTTTCTCGCAGGCTATACATCTGTCCTTCAGTCTCCTTCCTCCTGAGTTCTAGGTTGGAGAAAAGGAAATGGGTAAAATTGGGAGTCTGGGGTGTTTGTTCCTGTTTCATAAGAAAATGTGAAATCTCCTGCCATCAAATGAGCATCTACCTTGCTACATATTCCAGTCCCCCCTCTTTACTGCTTCAGGAGGGACTTAGACCCCACACCAGCACTGACTGCAGATGCCTATTCAATTTTTTTTTTCTTTTTTTGAGACAGAGTTTCACTTTTGTTACCCAGGCTGGAGTGCAATGGCGCGATCTCGGCTCACCGCAACCTCCTCCTCCTGGGTTCGGGCAATTCTCCTGCCTCAGCCTTCTGAGTAGCTGGGATTACAGGCACGCGCCACCATGCCCAGCTAATTTTTTGTATTTTTAGTAGAGACGGGGTTTCACCATGTCAACCAGAACGGTGTCGATCTCTTGACCTCGTGATCCACCCACCTCAGGCCTCCCAAAGTGCTGGGATTACAGGCTTGAGCCGCTGCGCCTGGCCTATTCAATTTTAGTTCTGACCGTTACCATTATCTCATTAACCTCCCAACCTTTCTACTTGTAAAATGTTTCCTTCATGCATTTAGTCCTTAAGAAAATATTTCTTTTTTTTTTTTTTTTTTTTTTGAGACGGAGTTTCGCTCTTGTTACCCAGGCTGGAGTGCAATGGCGCGATATCGGCTCACCGCAACCTCCGCCTCCTGGGCTCAGGCAATTCTCCTGCCTCAGCCTCCTGAGTAGCTGGGATTACAGGCATGCGCCACCATGCCCAGCTAATTTTTTGTATTTTTAGTAGAGACGGGGTTTCACCATGTTGACCAGGTTGGTCTCGATCTCTCGACCTTGTGATCCACCCGCCTCGGCCTCCCAAAGTGCTGGGATTACAGGCTTGAGCCACTGCGCCCGGCAAGAAAATATTTCTTGAGGGCACATTACATCTTAGGCATTGAATAAAGCCTGGACATACAACACTAAGAAAATACGGTCTCTACAGGGGATCTTCTATAAACTAATAGACATTTTATGGAAGAGGAAATGCAGAAATGCACAAAGGAGTATCTATTATCAGAGAGGTACTTATCGAACACTTTGCATGTATCAATTCATTTATATTTAATTATTTCAAACAATATATGAACTATATGTACTTGATCTCGTTTTACAGATTACCATTCAAGAGCTCAGAGATTTTATAAGATTTGCCCAGGGCCCCAATGCTTCTGTGTGGATTATAACCCAAATGAGTGACTTCAAAATTAATGTTCTTACATGCTATTCAACACTGTATCCAAGGCTGGACATGGCGGCTCAAGCCTGTAATCCCAGCATTTTGGGAGGCTGAGGTAAGCAGGTCACTTGACCAGGAGTTCGAAACCAGCCTGGCCGATACGGCAATACGCTGTCTCCACTAAAAATACAAAAATTAGCTGGGCTTTGGGCCGGGCGCAGTGGCTCAAGCCTGTAATCTCAGCACTTTGGGAGGCTGAGGCGGGTGGATCACGAGGTCAAGAGATCGAGACCATCCCAGTCAACATGGTGAAACCCCGTCTCTACTAAAAATACAAAAAATTAGCTGGGCATGGTGGCACATGCCTGTAATCCCAGCTACTCAGGAGGCTGAGGCAGGAGAATTGCCTGAACCCAGGAGGCGGAGGTTGCGGTGAGCCGAGATCGCGCCATTGCACTCCAGCCTGGGTAACAAGAGCGAAACTCCGTCTCAAAAAAAAAAAAAAAAAAAAAAAAAAATTAGCTGGGCTTGGTGGTGCATACCTATAATTCCAGCTACTTGGGTGACTGAAGCACGAGAATTGTTATTACCTGGGAAGCAGAGGTTGCAGTGAACCAAAATCACACCACTGCACTCAGCCTGGGCGACAGAGTGAGACTCGGTCTCAGTGAACAAATAAATAATTTTAACAAAATGCTGCATCTGACTTCTGGTCTCACAATTGAGTCCAGCTTAAGCCCAGGCTATCCAAACTCTACCCCACATATGCAGACCATACTCATCAACCTTTCTAGAGGACATAGAGGGATTAAAGTCCCTCTAAATATTTTTTCTTACCCGGTTTTACTCTAGAGTGCTGTCCAGAGGTACTCGCTTCTCCAGGAGGGGACACTGGTCTCTGAGCCTGCTCTGAGCCACTTGTATTCACTACATTTGCCGTTCCTGACAATTTCTTCAAACTAGATTCATTACTGAATGACGCCTTGGGCATTCCCTTGAATGTGAGTCACATATTAAACAACAACATGCATTTCTTTAGTTCCTTAAGGCTTGCAACGTTTTTTCATATGCATGACTCTAGTTAATGCTCCAAACCTTGGAAATACCTAGAGTATCTAAATACTAGAGGGAAAAGAGAAGGTCTAAGTGGGTAGTGAATCTGGGACTATAACCCATGTCTTAAGGCTCTTTCCTTCAACTTTCTCTCAAAATTCTCTATAGAAGTTAAAGGGAGGGAGGAAGAAAACTTGGGAAGACTATCTGGAGAATCAACAGGTCTGTGAAAGAAGAGGGTAAGGGCTAACAGAGAGAAAGAGGGAATCTTCTATAAACTAGTAGACATTTGATGGAAGGGGAAATGTGGAAAAACACAGAGGGACAAGGCACATCTGGAAAATGAGGTAAAAGAGCAGTAAGGTTGGGAACAGAACAGAGATCACTGGCAAAAATATATCTAGACAACTAAGAAAGTGATGTCAGAGTTGTACATTGCCATATCTTGGAAAGAATATTTGGTTTTGGAATTACTTAGTTCCTATATCAGTTCTGCTTGTCTGCTTGAATAAGGGTGTATTGTTAGCTAATTATCTTTAGTTTTCCAATCCAGAAACTGGCATACATGCTAATTTTTTTGAGAGGGAGTCTCACTCTGTTGCCTAGGCTGGAGTGCACTGGCATGATCTCAACTCACTGCAGCCTCTGCCTCCCATATTCAAGAGATTCTCTGGCTTCAGCCTCCTAAGAAGCTGGGATTACCGGCACGTGCCACTACACCTGGCTAATACTTATTTTATTTTATTTTTTGGTGAAATGGAGTTTTATTCTGTCACCCAGTCTGGAGTGTTGTGGTGTGATCTCGGCTCACTGCAACGTCCACCTCCCAGGTTCAAGCAATTCTCCTGCCTCAGCCTCCTGAGTAGATGGGACTACAGGTATGCACCACCATGCCCAGCTAATTTTTGTATTTTTATTAGAGACAGGGTTTTGCTAGGTTGCGCAGGCTGGTCTTGAACTCCTCACCACAATTGATCTACCCATCTTGACCTCCTGAAGTGCTGGGATTATAGGTGTGTGCCACTGTGCCTGGCCCATGTTAATTAATTAATTAATTCATTCTTTCTTTCTTTTGAGAGGGAGTCTTGCTCTGTTGCGTAGGCTGGAGTGCAGTGGCACAATCTCAGCTTACTGCAGCCTCTACCTCCTGGATTCAAGCAATTCTTCTGCTTCAGCCTCCTGAGTAGTTGGGATTGCAGGCATCCACAACCACGCCTGGCTAATTTTTGTAGTTTTAGTAGAGATGGGGTTTCACCATATTGGCCAGGCTGGTCTCAAACTCCTGACCTCAGGTGATCTGCCCACCCTTACTTCCCAAAGTGCTGGAATGACAGGTGTGAGCCACCAGGCCTGGTGCTAATTCTTAATATTATAGGGAATATGAAAGATAATAATGTTCACCAAAGTGTTTCACGAGCTACTTAATACAGCGTGAATGTGAGAGTAATAATTTTTTTTGGCTTGGTATGGTGGTGCACGCCTGTAGTCCCAGTGCTTTGGGGGGCTGAGGCAGGTGGATCACCTAAGGTCAGGAGTTTAAGACCGGCCTGGCCAACCTCACCTCTACAAAAAATACAAAACACGGCCGGGCGCGGTGGCTCAAGCCTGTAATCCCAGCACTTTGGGAGGCCGAGGCGGGTGGATCACGAGGTCGAGAGATCGAGACCATCCTGGTCAACATGGTGAAACCCCGTCTCTACTAAAGATACAAAAAATTAGCTGGGCATGGTGGCACGTGCCTGTAATCCCAGCTACTCAGGAGGCTGAGGCAGGAGAATTGCCTGAACCCAGGAGGCGGAGGTTGCGGTGAGCCGAGATCGCGCCATTGCACTCCAGCCTGGGTAACAAGAGCGAAACTCTGTCTCAAAAAAAAAAAAAAAAAAAAAATACAAAACACTAGCTAGGCATGGTGGTGGGTGCCTGTAATCCTAGCTACTTGGGAGGCTAAGGCAGGAGAATCACTTGGACCCAGGAGGTGGAGGTTGCAGTGAGCCAAGATCACATCACTGCACTCCAGCCTGGGTGACAAAAGTGAAACTCTGTCTCAATAAAATAAAATAAAATAAAATAAAATAAATAATTATTCTCACAGACTGGGTGTGGTGGCTCACATCTGTAATCTCAGCACTTTGGGAGGCCGAGGTGGAAGGATTGCTTGAGCCCAGGAGTTCAAGACCCGCATGAGCCACATGGTAAAACCCTGTCTTTACGAAAAAATACAAACATTAGCCAGGTGTGGTGGTGCACGCTTGTGGTCCCAGCTACTCAGGAGGCTGAGGCGGTAGGATGTCACTAACCTAGAAGATGGAGGTTGCAGTGAACTGAGATTGAGCCATTGCACTCCAGCATGGGTGAAAGAATGAGACCCTGTCTCAAATCCCTGCCCCACCAAAAACAAACAAACAAACAAACAAACAAGCAATTATCTCATAGTCCTGATATCATCTCTACAGTTGAAATCTAACTCAAAGATATTTTCAGCATTCCTTGACCCTGTTACCTATAGTTTATTTCATAAATTTGGAATCACTCATTCAGAAAACACTCAGGAGGCTCTCAGAGGCCCTGAGCCAGGCCTAGGAGTTCTGCGAAGAATCAGGTATGGAACAGACTCCTGAAGAGCTCACAGCACAGAGACAGCAGGCAGGCTAAACAAATGATTCCAGACAGCATGAGAGTTCCCTTACTGGAGCCCAGAGGAAGGAGCTGTTACTGCCTTCTACAGGAATGAGCATTTGAAATCAGTTCCAGAAAATATTTTTTCTTAATAGGTGTAACCTATATGAAGTCCTAAACAATTTTCTTGTTTGTTGTTTCTCAGTCTTCAAACTTGAAACTCCTCAGGGCTAGAAGCTGCTTCCTCTGATCAGAATGGGTCCCTAATGAGGGGAGGGACCCTATCTCCTTCTGGGACCATCACAGTATGAATTGTCTATTTACTTGGAAGCTTCCCTTAATCAGAGTGTTTTAGTGCAAATCTCACTGTACTGTAACAGAGAAAAACTGAGGTTGAAAAGTCAGTTGAATGAATGATGCAAAGATATATGGGTAAGGCAGCATAAACTTTATAAAACTATGAAACTTTTAATGATATTGTAAGTGCTTTAGAGAAGGAGTTTTGGATTAGACTGCATGTGATTCCAGGCCTATAGTTGAACATTTTTATACGTCAGTTTTCTCATCGAGAAAATGGCTATAGTTACAGCAGCTACTTAATAGGAACTATATGTAACGTTGAGTAAGTATGATATGTGAAGTTTATTCATGTAAAATGCTTAAAATAAACTCTTAAATATCGAGAAAATAACACTATAGTAGTGATTATTATTACTGTACTTATTAACTCTTAAAATAATGATGGCCTCAGACATTGTACAAGAGAGATCAGGAAAGGAAGACAGTAGTTCTAGGACATTCTGTACATTCTTCTTTTACCTGTGTTGGATCTAGGAGGAAGATTTCTTGTCAGTAGGATTTGGGAAATACTTACCTTCTGGTGTTTACTCTGTTCCACTCTGAAGGCCATCCCAGGAGGTTTGACTAAAAGGTGATGAGAAATCAGTGGTTTGGTTGGTAAATGTTTCCAAACTCTGGAGGTTTTCTTTTTCTTTCTCTTTTTTTTTTTTTTTTTTTTTTGAGATGGAGTCTTCCTTTGTGGCCCAGGCTGTGGTGCAGTGGCACAACCTCAGCTCACGGCAACCTCTGCCTCTCGGGTTCAAGTGGTTCTCCTTCCTCAGCCTCCCAAGTTGTTGGGAACTACAGGTGTGTGCCACCACACCTGGCTAATTTTTGTACTTTTAGTAGAGACAGGGTTTCTCCATGTTGGCCATGCTGGTCTTGAATTCCTGACCTCAGGTGATCCACCCACCTTGGCCTTCCAAAGTGCTAGGATTACAAGCATGAGCCACCATGCCTGGCTCTGAATTCTGAACCAGATAGTGATGATTCCAAGTATTATCTGAGGGTGATTTAAAAATATTTTCTGAGGTATCATTAAGGCCTATGCTTCTATTGGGGCATTGCTAATATTCTCAAGATTAAAAAAAATAGAAGAAACTTCATCTTTGTTTCATCCTATATTCATAAAGTATCTATTACATTTATTTTTAAAATGTAAATTGGCCTTTCATGACAAACACATTGAACAACCTCGGAATAGAAGGAAATCACCTCAACATAAAAGGTCACATAAGAAAAGTCCATTTTTAACATCATAGTCAATGATGAAAAATGAAAGCCTTTCTTCTTAGGTCATAAACAAGGTAAGGATTTCCAGTCTTGCTACTTCTATTCAACATAGTGCTGGAAGTCACAGCCAGAGCAATTAGGCAAGGTAAAGAAATAAAAGGCATCCGAATTGAAAGAAAGAAGTAAAATTATCTCTGTTTGCAGATGACATGATCTTACATACAGAAAACTATAAAGATTCATTAGCTGGGTGTGGTGGTGGGCACCTGTAGTCCCAGCTACTTGGGAGGCTGAGGCAGGAGAATTGCTTGAACCCAGGACACAGAGGTTGCAGTGAGCCACTCACTTCTCCAGCCTCAGCTTCCTGAGTATCTGGGATTACAGGCACCCACCACCACGCCCAGCTAATTTTTTTTGTGTGTATGTTTAATAGAGACAGGGTTTCACCACGTTGGCTAAGCTGGTCTCAAACTCCAGACCTCAAGTGATACGCCTGCCTTGGCCTCCCAAAGTGCTGGGATTTCAGGTGCCAGAGGTCACTCTAAATCTTACGGGGGGCTATGCACGGTGGCTCATGGTGGTGTGCACCACCATGTCACAGCTACTCGAGAGGCTGAGGTGGGAGAATTGCTTGAACCCAGGAGGCAGAGGCTGCAGTCAGCTGAGATTGCACCACTGTACTCCAGCCTGGGTGACAGGGCAAGACTCTGCTTCAAAAATAATAAAAATAAAAAAATAAAAAATTCTGCTTTCCTCTTACCTTGCTGCCTAGGTGTCCATTCTTCATCAGAATCTTCAGTGTCATCCACCTGGAGTTTGATGGCCTGCCTTCGGTGACACATGAAAGCTGGTCGAGTGGCTCTGAGACCTGAAATGAAGCAAAAAGTTTGTTCTAAAAGGGAAGAGCTGGGCAGAGGAACAAAGGGCAGTAGCAATGAAAAGGACCACAAAGCCAGTGCGGCTCAGTCTGAAGAGCTGGCAGAGTCCTGAACAAGGTCAAGATGGGACTTCTGCATGGTCAGTATCCACACTCAGCCCCACACTGACACAAAAGAACACAATTTCCCTCCAGATTTGTCTTCATACAAAAGGGAACTGTGGGCAGATACCACTACCTGAGAACTAAAATGACATAGGACCAAAGACCTGTTTTGTTTGCAGGCTGGTATGGGCCTAGCACTCTGGTTACCTATAGTAATCAGTGCATTATAGTTCCTTTTCACATTCCTATAGCGAGTTTTCTCCCAGTCTCCCATCTCTGCCCGTTCTTCCTTGGAGAAGTATATGGCAATGTCTTTGAAGGCATCTTTGACCTAGAGGAAGTAACAGAGTCCATCAGTGATTTACTAGTACATGTCGAGTGGGTGCTTTTCCTCTACCCTGTGTGTAGGGCTTGGCCTGGGGCCTCTGGGAGTCTCTGTGAAACATAAAGACTTTCCCTTCTTCTCCAGATTGCATCCTGTTTAACTGAGAAGACACTGAGCATTTTCCTAGCTCTCTGCTGACGCAGAGCAGTCACTGATGCCAGTGTTCTTTTCTCTCCAGCGTCCTGGCCAGGACCAGCTGCCCCTGTTCCATGCACATGCAGACAGGGTCACCCAGGGGTACAGGCCAGGAGTCTGCAGCACTCCAGAGACCAGCTCCTGCTATGAGTCTGGCTTTGCCTCCCCCACCTCTCACCATAGGCTTCTGCTCTGTTCTCCCTGTTTCTCCTGGGCTCTCCTCTTGGGACCTTTCAGGGCTCATGGTGCTGGGACTGTCTAGAAGGCCCTGCTTCATTTCCAACTGTGGGAAGGGCCCGATTCTCCCAGCTCCTAAGCCAAAGGCTCCTGTGGAAGGAGAAGGTGCTAAGAGGGGGCAACAGCCCTGACCACTACCCAGAACCAGGTTCTGTCTTCTTCATTTGGCTGGGGTGTTCAGAGCAGGAAGATGTGGGTTCCTGGTGAGGTCTTGAGCACCTCAGGGAGGTCTGGGGGTACTTATGGGATGGGAAGGTCTCTACTGGCCATGAACTACCACCTAATGTAAGCTGGATTTTGTTCTTTCAGTTCCCCTGCAGCTTGGCTCATTTGGAGAGTGGGAGCAGGGTGGTACAGGGGCCTGGAGGGTTGTAGCTATGGGTGTTTAAGGGGAGTCCTAAGGAGTGAGAGCCAGAGGAGTCCTAAGGGAAACTTGAGGCTCCCCGACTGCTGGGACTTGGGTCACACTGAGGAGCAGGGTTTTGTTTCAGCAAGGCAAAATGAACATTTCTCATAGATAGGATTTGGGGATCATAGAGATCCCCAAATCCTATCTATGAGAAATGTTCCTGGGGATTCAGGAAAAATCCAGGAGTAAAGCAGTATGCATCTCTAAGGGGCAGCTATCTCTCAGGCTGAGATTTGGGGTCCCTCAGGCTGAGGGGATTTGAGGTATCTTAGGCTGAAGAAACTGGGGTTGCTGAGATTGAGGGAATTTGGGGTCTTGAGCTGAGGAGCTTTGGCATCCCTCAGTCTGACAGTTTTTGTGGTTTTTCAGAATGAGATTTGGGGTCTTTTAGGCTGAAATTTGGGATGCTTAAGTTGACAGGATTTGAGGGGATTTGGGGTTCCTCTGGATGAAAGGATTTGGGATCTTTGAGGCTTGGAAAGGTTAAGGAGATTTGGAGTTTCTCCGCATGAAAGAATTTGGGATCTTTGAGGCTGAGGAAATTCTGGGTCTCAGGTAAAGGAGATTTGGGTCTCTCATTAAGGGGCTTTAGGGTCTTTGACACTGAAGTTATTTAGTCCTTGAAGCTGAAGGGATTGAGTTTTCAGGCTGAGTATTTAGATTATCTGAGGTTGGATAAATTTGGTCTCTCAGTGGGTGAGATATTTAGGGTTCTTCAGGCTGAGGGATTTGGGGTGCTTTAGGGTGAGGGGAACTGTGGCTCCTGAGGCTCCGAATATTTGGGGATCTAATCATTAGGAGATTTGGTGTTCCTCTGGGTAAAGGGATTTGGGGTCTCTGAAGCTGAGGTACTTTGGGAGTTTTATGCTGAGGGGATTTAAAGTCCCTCAGGGTGTTGCAATGAGCCGTGGTTAATAGGAGAGTTTTGATTATGAAGTTTGTTGTGTAAGATTCTGGCAGAGCTATATTGTGGGGGGTTGCTATGAAGATGGTAATAGTTAGGGCATTTATTATAATGATATTTATATATTCTGCTATGAAGAATAGGGCGAAAGAGCCAGCAGCATATTCAATATTAAACCCTGAGACTAGCTCTGATTTGCCCTCTGTTAGGTCGAAAGGGGCTCGGTTAGTTTCTGCTAGTGTGGAGATAAATCATATTGTAGTAAGGGGTCATGTTGGAAGTAAAAGTCAGGAATGTTCTTGTGTTGTAATTAATGAGTGGATATTGAATGAACCACTTATTAGTAGGGTTGATAGTAGGATAATGGCTAGAGTGACTTCGTAGGAGATTGTTTGGGCTACGGCTCGTAGTGCACCGATTAGTGTGTAGTTTGAATTGGATGCCCACCCAGACCATAGGATTGAATAAACAGCTAAGCTTGATGTTGCAAGTACAAATAAAAGGCCTAGGTTAAAGTTGATAAGGGGGTGCGGTATAGGTAGTGGGGTTCATAGGATAAGGGCGACTGAAAGGGCTAGAATAGGGGCAATTACGTATAGAGTTGTGGTGGATGTTGTAGGAAGTAGGGGTGGGATCGTGCCATGGCGCTCCAGCCTGGCGACAGGGCGAGACTCCACCTAAGAAGAAAAAAGTCCCTCAAGGTGACAGGATTTGGTGTCTCTGGAGGCTGAGAGGATTTGGAGCTTCTCAGGGTGTGGGGATTGGGGGTCTTCCAGGCTAAAATATGAAGGTTTCGGGCGGAGGGTTTACAAGGATTTTACGCTGCACGACAAAGGCTCCCCGTGCTCTTCACAGTCTCCCGTGCCCTCCTGCCGCGGTGTCCACTGTGGCCGGGCGTCCTCTCGGCGCCCCTCAGGGTGTGAGACGTGGTGGAGTGCGAAGCGCCAGCCCGTAGTCCTCCGTTGGCACAAGCTACCAATCAGCGCCGAGACCAAGGCGATCCCGCCAATCGGCAGTCAAGTGATGCTAAAGGGGCGGGGAGTAGGGCGGAGCTTTGCCTGTCAGTCACGGGCACAACCCGGTTCCAGGCTCAGGAGGTCGGGGAGGGGCCTGGCTTTTGCGCGCGTCCGACTGGAATCGTCCAGCGCGCAGGTGCAGCTTCGCGGTTTTGGTCACTCTGTTTTCCCCAGCCCAGGTGTTTGCGACTGAGCCGGGGATGGGGGCTGCGCCTCACGTCCCTCCGCAGGCCTGGGTCTTCTGAGGGGACACGGTGTCTTTTTGGATTGCCAGAGTTCTCGCGTTGAGTCTCATGCGGGAGGGCTGGTGTTGCGTTAGCTGTGGTGTAAACTGGGTCTAGTAGGCTGCTTGGCTCTTGGCTGCATCAGGGGCTAGGGCTCCGTTCGGGACCCTTCTATGTAGGAACTGCGCTTCATTTCACAGGTGCTTTATTGGCAGGTCAATGTTGGTGTTTAGTTAGGGCTGTGATCCCATAAATGGTGTGTAAGAGGAGCAGCCGCCAGGCTGATCCCCCGCTGCAAGGCTGACCCCGGCTGCAAGGCTAACCCCCGGCTGCAAGGCTGATCCCCGGCTGCAAGGCTGACCCCCGGCTGCAAGGCTGACCCCCGGCTGTAAGGCTGACCCCCGGCTGCAAGGCTGACCCCCGGCTGCAAGGCTGATCCCCGGCTGCAAGGCTGACCCCCGGCTGCAAGGCTGATCCCCGGCTGCAAGGCTGACCCCGGCTGTAAGACTGACCCCTGGCTGCAAGGCTGACCCCCGGCTGCAAGGCTGATCCCCGGCTGTAAGGCTGATCCCCGCTGCAAGGCTGACTCCCGGCTGTAACGCCGGTCCCCGCTGCAAGGCTGACCCCCGGCTGCAAGGCTGATCCCCGGCTGCAAGGCTGACCCCCGGCTGCAAGGCTGATCCCCGGCTGCAAGGCTGACCCCGGCTGTAAGACTGACCCCTGGCTGCAAGGCTGACCCCCGGCTGCAAGGCTGATCCCCGGCTGTAAGGCTGATCCCCGCTGCAAGGCTGACTTCCGGCTGTAACGCCGGTCCCCGCTGCAAGGCTGACCCCCGGCTGCAAGGCTGATCCCCGGCTGCAAGGCTG